AAATAATTGCTCATTTCTTTGTTCTCTATTCCAGGTTGATGATGCTGAGGTGCTCCCAGTGAGTATTTCTAAAGTATTGATATGAAAAAAAAAACCTTGTGTTTTATCTTATGAAAAACCAAGTAGACAAAGGGCATTTCCTTGGCAACATGTTCCTCCTGTCTGTCTACTTTTGCTGTCAGTCATGAACTGCTATGCTAGATTCCTATGTTCTGCTCCCACTCTAGCTTGCCATTAAAGCAATGCTGTTACAGCAATGAAGGCTAAATTGGTTGTTACTAATATAGTGTCTATATGGAAAGAGATCTTGCAATAGCTTGAGACTAACTGTGTGAAAGAAGTTATAGCATGAGTTTTCATAGACTTGTGGTCTACTTCCTCCATGCATTTGAGGAAGTAGACCAATTTTGCAAAAACTCATGCTACAACTTCTTTCACACAGTCTCAAAGTTGCTGCAAGATCCCTTTGCATACTGATATTCCAGACTATATATGGCTATGTCTCTAATATAGTGTCAGTGATGCTAATGGTTTTACTCCAAGTATGGCTAATTTAGTCCCATCCTCAGGGAGCACTATGGTGAACTTCTCCACCCCCATTGTGTAGTTCAGTCCCCTTTCATTTGAATTCTGCTACACTATCGTTGTGATGAAAGTGGGAGCTGGAATCTTAACTCATTTCAAGTGCCCCAAGGTCCCCTTCACACTGTCCATACAACACTTTTGATATGACTTTAACTGCCATGGCTGCATTTTACTGAATCCTGAGATCGGTCATTTGGGAAACCAAGGCATTTCTGGGAACTACATGGAACTCATGGAACTAGTAATCCCATAGGATACTGCCACAACACTTTTGTGGTTTTTTTGGGCTGTGTGGCCATGGTCTAGAAGAGTTTCTTTCTGATGTTTTGCCAGCATCTGTGGCTAGCATCTTCAGAGAAAACTGAATTGGAGGAGCATGGGTCTATCTATACTTAGTGTTGTATTAAAATCCTATAATTGTGCAATATGAAAGAGATTTAAGCTAGGGATAATTGCTGTAGATATTCAAAGGTAATACAGGCAAGTCATGAATGCTAAATGAATGATAAATATAACAAGGAGAAATTGATGGGTTTAGTAGAGCCATGTATGATTGCAAATTGCACTGTCCTCTTTCTTCCTTGGATAGGGATGCATGGGAATAAACAAGACCCTTGGATTAGTGGTATAAAGACTCAATGGCTAGCCTTGAGTTATTGGCCTAAAAACTCTCCAACATCCAATCTATCCAGGTTCAGCTGCTGACAGATTCTACTCCTCTTAGCCTTGCTGTTTAGAATTCAGTCTGAAGTTACCACATTTCCACCCCTGAAAGTGTTTGAGATTTACTATTGAGGGAATTAGTCTGAAAGTGGATATAAGAAGGGAAAGTAGGCTAGGGCTCTAAGAGTTCTGTGAGGGGTTGCAAATTCATTATGCTCTTCTCCTTCAAAAAGGGAAATAATTGCTCATTTCTTTGTCCTCTATTCCAGGCTGATGTTGTTGTGAATCCAGTGAGTATTGCTAATTTATAGATGTGAAAAACCTTTTGCTTTATCTTATGAAAAACCGTCTAGACAAAGGGAATTTCCTTGACACATGTTCTTCCTGTCTGTCTACTTCTACTGTCGGTCAACAATTGCTGTGCAAGATTCCTATTTCCCTGTTCCTACTCTTCTGTTGTTGTTGTTGGGTCCCTCCAAGTCATTTTGACTTATGGTGACCCTAAGGCAAACCTATCATAGGGTTTACTTGTCAACTTTCTTCAGAGAGGGTTTGCCACTGCCATCTTCTGAGGTTGAATGTGACTTGCCCAAGGTCACCAGTGGGGTTTTTTGCTTGAGTGGGGAATTGAACTCTTATGTTCAGCATCATAGCCCAGTTCCCAAACCAGTACGTAATATTGGCTCTACTCTAGCTTGCTATTAAAACAGTACCATTACATCAATCATTTGAGGGAATTAGTGTCCACCTTGAAAATGGATGTAAGAAGGGCACTAGGCTAGAGCCCTAAGGGTCCTAGGAAGTGTTGCAAATTCATTATGCCCCTCTCCTTCAAAAAGGAAAATAATTGCTCATTTCTTTGTCCTCTATTTCAGGTTGCTGTTGTTGATGTGAACCCAGTGAGTATTGCTAATGTACTGAAATGAAATACCTTGGGCTTTATCTTATGAAAAACCAAGTCAACAAAGAATATTTCCTTGGCAGCATGTTCCTCCTGTCTGTCTACTTTTGCTTTTATTCAGGGATTGATACAAAAAGCCTTTTAACCAAGTTCTTTAAATGTGAAAGAAATCATTGTCTTCATTTCCTGATTATGGAAGGATGATTCTGATATGAGTGAGGGGATGGGTATTCTCCTTGTACTGAGAAAGACTAACTGCTATAACTATGCAGTGTGAGAGTAGCCCATATGTTCAGTCTTGCCTTTTGAAATAGGAAGCAATTGCCCATTTCTGTATTTCAAGTTGAAGGACTTTTACCTGGTGATTATTGATAACTATTATTAGGTTTAAATTGAGAGAACAATTTTTTTTGCCAAGATGATCAGCAATGGCAGAAACAGGGTATTTTGGCCATTCACTCCTCAGTTTGCCACTCTTCTCAGTCACTCAGAGAATAATCTTTCCCTGTTCTGCTTATGCCTGACCCGGATCTTACACAGTGTAGGAGGGACAACTGGAGTGTTTATTAGCTTTGTATGCCTTGCCTTCTTGTCTTGCCATAAAAGAAACAAACCAATGGACAATTTCTTTTCCCTTTGACAAAGTGATGGATGTTTTCTTTGACTGGACTGGACCTCTCTGTTATATACCAAGTGATGTGGGGCAACCACACTGATCAAAGAAAAAAATCCACTGATAGAAATAGATATGGCACTAATCTATAATTTATTTTATTGCTTCTGATCAATTCTCCAAAGGGAAATGAGTAATAATTCTTCTGAACTCTTCTCCTCAACAGGAATCACGAAAGAAGAGATCTCCTGTAAGTACACTATCTTCTTGGAGGGTTTTTGTTCCTTTTAAAACATTCTTTAATATTTGGACTAATCCAGTTCACTCTCCTCTGGGAAACGAAGATCAAGAAGTTGCAACCTCTTCATGAGACAGGATTCACAATGGGGTTTGGTGTATCATGTTGAGGAGATGATGCCTTAGGCCTTGAGGGTCCGTGATGATTTTGAGAAGAGATTTTAGAGCTGGAACGAAATGTTTATATGTATATGCTTTGCTGATCAAATACACCATTTTCCAAGCTGTTCTTCTCCATAATGTCTTTATCCTTATGAGTGGGTCTGTGTAACATTGTCAGAGAGTACCATCCCAAGGGGCAGGCCCTGGTGTTGCCCTTAAGTATGATGGATTGAGGATGTGTCATTCAAAAAATGAAATAAATAAGTCTAACAAAGGAGAACATATTCACAGATAGGTACTTTTGAAAGTAATGCTCATGCCCTGAGATCCTGAGGATAATCCCCTCCAGCAGCCCCCCTCCACTCCCAAAGCCTGTTGGGCAGGGTTTCCCAGCTGCAGGTTGGTGAGTGATGGTAAATTCAGGGAAAATGTTCCTGACCTGGGCTCCCAGCTTCCATGTTTTGTCTGATCCTTGAGGAAACTTTCTCTGACCTCCATTCTAAAGTAATCATTGCTCACTTTTGTGTTTCAGTTGATTCCTGGCCTCCTTGGAGTAAGTATTATTATTGATTTGGAGAGAAAAATATGTAACTGTATAATAAGGCAAATGGGTTTTTTACGGGGTAGCATCCGTTGGCTTCCATGCTGATCTTAGCATCACAAAGTGCAGTGGGCCTTGATATCTGCTGAGATTTGCTTCCAAGATCCCCCATGGATACTCAGATCTGTGAATGCTCAGATTTTTATTGTGTTGAGTATTAAAATGGTGTCCCTTTATATGCAATGACAAAATCAAGCTTTGCTTTTTGGATTATATATTTAAAATATATTTAAGCTGTGGATGGTTGAATGCATGGAGACTCAAAGTGACTCATACTAAGACAATACAAACTTACTGTTAAAATAGAAAACAAATATGCATATGAAAAAATGAGTAAAACAAGGAAAGACAAATGAAAAATGCCTTAAAAAAAGGAAGAATAGAAAATCAGACTAAGGAGCTTATTGCACCACTTTTTAAACTGGGTTACCTCTTCTGACTCAAATTTTAATTTGGGTAGCATCCTGATATTATCAAAGGGATTTTGCCACTTAATCCACCACCCAGGTCCATCCTCACACCCAGGATCACTCAACATGCCTTATTTCTAAACCATGTGTTTTCTAGCTTAAAAAATGGCTGCCGGAGCATTGGATTTGGCAGCAAAATCCCTGTGATAGTATCAGGATGCTACCCAAATTAAAATTTAGGTCAGAAGAGGCAAGCCAGCTTAAAAAGCAGTGCAATAAGCTCCTAAGTCAACTTGATGGCTGTGAAAGTCTGACTAGAAAGTTTGCAAGAGTGGAGATGGTCTTTCACCTTGAACTAGAATATAAGAATTACAAAAAATGCTTCCCTATGGCAGAATTATCACTGGTTTGATGTACCAAATTAATGGGATTTACTTGTCTGTTTGTTTAGTGGGTCAACTCCAGAAAGGCTGTATGAAGGCCTTGGAAAGCCTCTTTCAGGTTCAAGAGAGAAAATGGGTGTCCACCATGGATGGAGTATGAGATGTATGATGGAGAAATACTTTGGAGTCTCATTGAGTCTTCCAGAGGGGCAATAACTGCTGATTTCACTTTTTCAGGGTGGTAGTGATGGTGGTGGTGGACTCCTACATACTGTGAGTATTTCTAATGACCTGATACCAAGAACCTATTGGTTTAAACTTTTAATGTCGCTGTTGTTTTGTGCCCTCCAGTCATTTCCAACTTATGACAACCCTAAAATAACTTGTGATGGAGTTCTCTGAAGCAATAGCGTGGGGCTTGCTGAAAGTCACCCAATCATTTTCATGGCCGAACAGAGATTCAAACTCTGGTCTACAAAGCCTGAGTCCAATGCTCAAACCACTATGCCACACTGGCTCCTATACTTTTAGTACCAATGCATTTCTTTGTCTGCATCTTCTTCACTTCTCCACTCTCTCCCAGTTTGCTATTTTGCTGTTCTACTCGACACTGCCCTTTCTTTGCTGTGGTGGTTTTCTTTCTGCTAGCCAGGTTAGGGTTGACTTTCCTGTTCAAGCTGACTTTCTCTCTTTTAGATAATATTGGGAGTGCGGCAACTACTTTGTTTCAGTCTAAAAAATACAACCAGCTGCAGTTTACACTTGCCTTACCAGGAGATACTCCTAGCTCCAAATTTAGAAAGGGCAAGAGCTTATTCTATATTGCAGCCTATGGGAAGGCTAGGCTTCTTAGCTTATTCTATGTTTCACCTATGGTATGATCCCTTTCTACCTAAGTGAATGATCAATGAAGCTAAGGAAAGTAGTAATGACACACTTTTGTCTTTCAGGTTTCTGGTGTTGCTGGTGGTTTACCTGTGAGTATCACTAATCATTTAGAAATGTGTTTTTGTCAGTGCACTGTGAGGCAACACTTGTGTTCCTCAATGATCCTCCCTAGCTTTTGTTGTGAAGGGCAGTATTGACTTGTGATTTTTGTGTCATCAGTGCAGTATGAAGAAATGGAGTATTCCACTTCTCTCCAACACAGAGCATTGAATTTTAAGCTTAGACTTCCATCATTTGCATTCAGCTATCTGTTCTAAAATGTGAACAGTCATTTTAAGGAAAGGTGAAAGAAATCCCAGCGTGTCCTTGCTGTCTTAGTGGACACTGGCACAAGCACACAAGTACAAAGCACACAAGTACCCAAGCACACATTGCTTTTGTTCCATCGTTGCCACTGGGGAAATTCAGATGTTTGAAAATTACCAAATACCTGCTTTTGCTCATTTGTCACTAGAAAAAGTGTGTAACATGAGCAACAATTTCATTTTCTCCAAATCTTCTTACTTCCCACAAAAATGTTTTTCCCTCTCTAGACTAAAGTGAGATAAAGAGATATTTCCCCACTGTGGAACACAAAGAGGGAAGTGATTGGGATGCTGACATATTTTCTGCCACTTTGTTTTTTGAACAATATTTTTGGAACCTAGACTCCATGGGAATCTTCAATCCACAGATGGATGGTTGTGGGTAACTAACCATGGGCATTACACAGTCCTTTAAAGAAAGGGATATTGCAACTGGGAAATGGAAGCGCTATCAGATATCTTTCAGATGGGTCTCCTAGTAACTGAATTTCCACCATCGAAATGAATTAGGTGTGAAGAAATGGATGGAAAACTCCCAATGGATATAATATTAAGCTTTCACAAGGGCCATTTTATTCAATTTCTTTTTTGAGGGGGGAAAGCACTTTAAGGAAACAAATAATTTTGCATCATGTATTCTTTCTGTATATTCCTGGATATATCTTGCAACTGCTTCCCCAACATTGGGACTCAACAGCAGCTTATACTGAGGTTGTAGAAAAGTTCAGTTAAGGCAGAGAATAAGGTCACATTTTAAAACCTTTAAAACAGAACATAATTGGCACCAACTGAAATGATTATGAAATGCAAATGAACTGACTGAACGTGTAAAATGGCCTCAGGTGGAAGCGAGTGAGTGGCTCTCCATCTTGGATTGAGAATATTACATAAGATGGGGCAGTGGAGCAAATACACTGGAGTCCTGGGGTTCCTGGGACATGTGTTCAGAGAGTTTTCTGCCTCTCCTTCAAGAAGTAGAATAATGGCGTGTATCTCTGTGTCTTCTCTAGGTTGCTGGTGGTCTTGTAAGCCCAGTGAGTATTGTAAATACACTGACAAGAAATATGTGACATTATGGAAACAAGAAAAGGAAAGGTTGATCCCTGGGTGGCTTCTTCCTCTATTCTGCCTGTCTGGCTAGAATTATGGTGGGAATGACTGGGATTATGAGAAAACTAATGACTGCTGATTTCTCTCATTCAGCTTTTATCATCTGTTGGAAGCCTTTTGCCAGTGAGTATTTATTTATTTATTTATTTATTTAATATCTTGTCTGTCTCCAAGCCCAGGACTCAGCTTACAACCATTTAAAACAAAATTCAACTAAAAACTATTAATATAGTCAATAAAATGGCAAGCTGATGAAATAACATAAGTTAAAAAAGAATTTGCTAAAAAACAAATTTAACACATAATAACATACAAACACAACCCATACACATAGAACACAGTGAAAATCTGCATCTAATTTACAAGTTAAAATCAAAAGCCCTGCCAAAATAAAATGATTTTTGCCTTATGGTGGAAAGATAGGAGGACAGGTTTAACTGATCCTTCCATGAAAGAGTTACCCAACTTGGGGGCAGACAGCAAGAAGTCTCACTTCCATGTCCTCACCAAACATACCTGTGATGGTGATGGGACTAAGAGAAAGCCCTGCCCTGCAAATCTTAGAAATTGGACAGGCTCACATAATGAGATACAGATATAGCCTGGACCCAAAGCATACTGGCTATGACTTGAACAGATATGGAAATCCTTTTGGTTGCTATTGTCAAGGGCCAAGTAGTTGACAGTCTAATTGGTTCTTCCAGAAGCGAAAAGAAGCTGAAGTGTTCAGGAGTCTTGGACTTCTAGATTTCCGTATGTTGTCCTAAAACAAAAAGCAGTGGATAATTTTCTTTCTGTTGACTGGGGATGGATAACAGTGTTCCTGAGTAGGATGTCTTCTTCTTTCTTCAATAAGAAATAAATTGGGAGGTCTACCTTAATCCAAAGGGGAAAAACCCAGTGGCTCTCTTCTATAATTTCTTTTCCTCTTTCTGATCACACACACTCATGGACCAAACAAAGAGGAATGTGTAACAATTATTCTGCATTCTTTTCTTTTCTCCACCAGGTAAAACGAAAGAAGAGATCTCCAGTAAGTACACAATCTTCTTGGTTTTCTTTCATTTGTTTCTTGACATTCAGTGATATTTGGATTAAGCCTATTCATCTTCCTCTGAGAAAGCAAGATCAACATGTGGTAGGGCTCTTTAGTGGGCTACATTCATAAAGCATTCTGAAACACATTTGGGAGTAGATGATGCCTTTGGCCTGAAGGCCCACAATGTATTTTAGGAAATAATTAGGAGAGGGCACACTATTTATATCTTTTCCTTTTTCAAAAAGAAAATCGATGATGTTTGGACTAATCTTGTTCACTCTTCTCTGGGAAAGGAAGATTGGCAAATTGCAAAGTTCTTAATGGGACAGGATTCATAATGAGATCTGAAATACCATTTTGGGGAGCTGATGCCTCAGACTATGAAGGTCTGCAATGCTTTTGAGGAGAATTTTTAGAGCTGGAAGAAAAAATTAATGCTATTCTGATTGAACACACCATGTTTCAAGCTGTCCTTCTCCATTGTGTCTTGTGAATGGTTCTATGTAATGTTGCCAGGAGAGTACCATCCCAGGCCCAAAGATTTCAAGAACAAAACTTAAGAATCTATGGCTCCTGGTGATGTCCCAGCGGGCAGACTCTGGTGCTGCCATTAAGCATGATGGATTAAGGGTATGTCATTAAAATAATAAGAAAATACGTCTAACAAAGGACATATATTCACATGTATATGAGATCCTGAGGATAATTGCCATTGCCAACCTCCCTCCACTCCCAAAGCCTGTTGTGCAGGGCTTCCCAACTGCACGTTGAGTTGGTGACTTGGTAAATACAGTGGAAATGTTACTGGTTGAGCTCCCAGCTTCCATGTCATATCTGATTCCTGGTTAAACTTTCTCTGCCCTCTCTTGTGAAGTAATCATTGCCCACTTCTTTTTACCCTCGCTCCTTAGTGGCTTTCCTGATGCTGGAATTTATAATTATTATAAATTATTCATTTGGACAGATAAATACTTACCTATATAATATGAGAGATATTTGTTTGAAATTGTGGCATCCAATGGCTCCCTTAGTGATATGACCTCTTTTGTCTGATTTCTAATTGAGTATTAAAATAGTGTCCCATATACACAATGACAAAATCTAGGTTTGCTTCTTGGAATATATATATTTATGCTACACACTTGTTCTAGAAAGAAAAAAAAAACTTCTGGAGGTACAGTAGGCCCTCCCTGTCCAGGGGATGGTTGAATCCATGGATAGGGAGGGGCTACTGTACCTCCTGAAGTTTTTTTCTTTCTAGAACAAGTGTGAAACATGAGAAACAATCTCCTTTCCCCATATGAGCCCTTCTTCATTCAGGAAAGTTGACAGGAGGGCTCACATGCCTCCATTATAGTATTATGGGTCCACTCTAACTGCCATGGCAGCATCCTGTACAATCCTGGAATTTGTAATTTGTTGAAGCACTAGAGCTCTCTGGTTGAGAATTTTAAATGTCCCTCCCTAAACTGCAAATCCCAGGATTCCATAGGAACTGACCCCTTGGCAGTTAAATTGACAGTTCATGTGACAGTTTAATTACCAGTCCTTTGCCTGAAAGTACCTGATGTCTAGAGCAGAAAAAGTCCTTTTGAGGAGTGATATAAGCAGACTGAGAGGTCCTTGCCTTCAAGTTTTGGATATGGGCAAATTGAGGATTCCCCAATCTCCATAGGGAATGGTGATGATAATGAATTTAACTGACTGTCAGTCAAATCAAAGGCTAAGCAGGCAACTCATGGTCCTTTAAGCACAGCAAAAAGAAGGAGTATTACTGCTCCCCCACTCCATTTAGGCTTTTTTGGTATGTGTGTAGAAATATACCAGTAAGTATTGCTAATTAATAGATATGGTGAGCTTTTTGCTTCATTATTGTGTGAAATGAAAAGAGTATATGTTTGCCTGAATGTTCCATTCTTTCTCTCTGCCCTCTTTCCTCTCCTGTACCTCATACTATTGAAAAAAGTTTAAACCTACTGTAAATATTTATAGTTAGTTTTATAATTAGAGTTTCGCTAAAGTGAAAGAATGAAACAATATTTTCAGGAAAGGAGAACAGGGGCTGAAAAGAGGTCTTGCTTTCCATCATACATGACACAAACAGATTTCTATGAT